CTTTTCTGAAGTGTGAGGAAGAACTGAGTCAACAGATGATCGCTGAAGCTGAGTCATAGAGTTCATCGATACAATGAAATAAAACCTAATGATTAGTACTTATGTAGTAATGCATTATTAACACGGCCATCTGAGTGAGTCCAAGAAACAAAATGCAAAAGCATAAAGTGAATGAGTATCCACTTTAAATCGAGATAATGCATTGAGAAACAGAATCAGTATGAAACTTGTGTTCCACGTATTCGGTCTTTTAAAACCTATCAAAAGACAAATATCAAGCAATAGCTCTGAACAGGCACACGAGACCCTAATAGTTTCAAGTCTTGGTGATGATAAGGAATGGTGGAGTTGATTTGCAGCCTTGGTGATATTCTGTTAAAGCAAATTTATAAATTGCAAGATTTTTCCTGACGCTCCCTTACCTACAGCTTGCACCATGTGTAGCTTCTTTGGACAAATCACTTACCTGACTAAGCCTGAGCTTTCTTATGTATAAAATGAGGATAATTGTTCTCACCTATGAGAGTTTTTAGAGGGCAGAATAGAGGTTGAGTTTACAGAATGCACAGCACATACTTCCCCATTAAGTCCCCGATAAAGATAGGTGATCACTACAATAATTACTGTTATTCACATGCCATGGATTCCTGTCTGTTCCTAAGGATTCTCTTCATTTGATCTTGAAGTGGTCTTCTGGCATTAACATCACGTTCATGACATTAACATAAAGCAATGACAGGAGCCACGACAATGACATTCTGTCCGTTCTGCAGTCAGATGAGGGAAAACAAAGTTACTGGACTGCATTTTTCATCACTGATTGGCTTGTGCCATAGTTAACCACTTATAAATCACTACTGTGTGTTGAGTTTCACTGGTGTTGCTGGGAGGGATAACACCGCTTTCCCTACTACTATTCCAGGCCACTGCTTTCAAAAGGTGTTCCTCTCAGCCAGGGGTCTTTGTTGCTGTTGATGGGAGAGTATCTTGGGAGGGTGAGTAAGGAAGACACTTTGAACTCACCACAGCAGCTTGATTTGCTTTATCCACATTATAAATTGAGGCTTCTATAATATTTCATTTGGAAGAAATGGTTCCTGTCTCTGAGGAATTTACATTTCAGTGAGGAAGATAGGCCCCAAACAAAACCAGATAATCTAGATACAGATTTTCATGAAGGGCTTTGGAAGGTTGGAGGAAGACTCAAATAATTCTGCCTTGGGAAATGAGGAAACTTCTCATTCAAGTGATAATATCTGAACTGGTTCTTGGATGATGAAAGAATGTGTCCATGTTAATGGCAGAAGGGAGTCTGGGAAGAGAGAAAAGCGTGAGAGAAAACATTGGAACGTGAGTGCTGGCTGGGTTGGAGAGGTTTTTCATGAGCAGAATTAACAGGACTGAAATGAATTGCAGGTATAGGATTGAAGGTGAAATAGATGATAGTGAGATCTCTCATTTGAAAGACTAGGTGAATGAGATCACCCAAGGATGTTGGGGGAAAAAAAAAAAAGCCCCAAATGGAACAGGGTTAAAAATGTAATCCTGGATCCTCTACCACTTGAGGGGAGGAAAGACAATGAAAGAGGAGGACCAGTCAATGAAAGAGTGTAGGGGTGAGTGGAGAAGGAAGAGGAGAAAAAGCAGAGTCCTGGAAATCAAGAGTTTCAGATGATGGTGGCTGATAGTGATAATGATACCGAAATATCTGACTGAGTGAAGGTGGATCATAACCTTCATAACTGTGCATCAGGAAGTGCCTGGGGACTTAATGTGAACACAACTTTAATGGCACATGCAGGATGGAAATCAGGGAGGAAGGAGTCGAGTCGTTAATGGGAATTGAAGAAATAGATATCAGGAGCAAGGTTATGTTTTTCAGTAAATTTTGGGGTAGATATGAAGGAAGAAGATACAGTGGTAGTTTGACAGAGAGGTAAGGTAAGGAGAAGAAAATTTTAGTGTAGGAAGGAAGAAAATGGAACATTTCCTGAGCACTTACTGTGTGCTGAATTTTTACTAGGCACTTTCAGATAGGAGAACCTTGAGCATATGTGTGGGCCAAAAGGAATGAAGGAGTGAGAAAGTGAAATTATAGAAGTTATTAAAGAACGAAAAAGGGAAATTGGAGGTGCTAATGGGGAAAGGAAACCCCATGAGGGGATTCACCTTTGTTAGATCAGGCATCATTGGAATGGGTTTAGAGAGTGGGATGTGCTTATACTGGGCTGCAAAGTTTCTGGTATTTTTATAATTTGGGTTTCTGTCTGACCTGAATAGAGGGCTTTTCTAAAATGGAAATAGATTTGTTAAAATGACAGCTTGAGTGTAATACTAGCTAACATTTATAGAATGCTTACTCTGTGCCAGATACTCTGTGCAGCCCTTTATATGCATTACTCCCTTTACCCAACAACCCTGTGGTGGAGATATTATCTTTGTCCCTATTTTATACAGGAAGAAACTGATACACAGAAAGATTAACAGAGCTGGTATATGGTAGAGCTTAGATTTGAACCCATGTAGTCAGTGTTCAGAGCTTGTGTTTTTAATCCCTCTGTGAAATGGTCTATCCAATAGTATTTCTGCACGAATTACACAATTACCCTTAGTCCACTCTTATTCCGGACTAAGGGACAGGTTCTGGCTATTTGGTTTTCTGCCATGCTCAAGGAAAGGTGCACTCTACTTCAAGAAGCTCATGAATATCAAAACCTTAATCACAGCTATTCGGACGACACGAGTTCACGCTTTACAAACCAACCAGGGCCCTAGTCATATTAAAATCAAAGTTGCAAAATAAAGAAACGTTCCGAAAAACCTTGTCTGCTTCATTTAGATAACAGTGTGCAGAATGAGTTGAAAGATAAAAATGCTCAGCATTTACCATTTCCTTTTCTTTCCTTTTTTAAGCCCCATGGTGTTAGGGATGATATCATCAGGCAATTTGGTTTGAATATGTTCCGTGCTGGACTGTGCAGATTACCCAACTAATGACATGCATACTCCTTGCCATTGTGACACCTCTCTTCTCACAAGTGGGAATTTCAAGTGACAGACTAAAGCTGTTTGCTATCAATTTTGCAAAAAAACCCCCACATCTGCCAGATAGCCAAGATTTAGTTCAGAGACTGAAATCAATTAATATTCTAATTTGTTACCCATCATTAGTGTCATGTTATATTATGGCAAGTCAAGAGTGATAACCTTTATATAACATAGGCTCCTAAAGGAATTTGATTTGGGGGATATGCTTTATTTGTGTTTAGTGTTGCTCCTGGCACATACATCCCATTGGAAATTTCAGTTACACAGACAGTAAAAATGATGATGGATTAAAACGAAATATGTCTCCTCTAGATTATGGATCTTCCTACTGAGAATGGTAATTACTGGCAACTATGCTGAGAGTCTCTCAGATGAACTTGAATTTGTTGAAAGTAGGCAGGTCAACAAATTGTTAGTCACTAAGGGACAAGAAATTGATTCCGTGTATTTTTTTTTTTTCCCTGCTTGGTTTCTCAATGTCCTTATAGAATAGTTTTCTTATAAATTGATAAATCTCTCATCTGGATTACTACAACGTCCTGCTTTATCTTCTGCCCTTGCCTTTCTAGAGCCCATTTTCAACACAGTTGCTAGAGTGATCTTTAAAAAAACCTGAGTCAGATCATGGGACACCTCTGCTCAAAACTCTCCAAAGCCATTTTATTTCACTCATAGTAAAATCCAAGTTCCTTAGAGTAATGCCCAAGGCCTCACATGATAGGGCATGTGCTACAGTGTGAAGTTACCTTCTGCCACCCTCTACCTCATTCATTCTACATAAGGCTCGTGGGGCTCCTTGCTGTTCCAAGCAGATTTTTGCCTAAGGGGCTTTGTCTGAAATTCCGAGGTTTTAAAACTTCCTCCTCCACCTACTCCAGGGTTCCTTGCAAAAGAAACCAGCCCTGGTCATCCTAAAAAAATAATGTTTTACCCGCTATGCCCTTCCATATTCCATTCACTCTTCTTTAGTTTCTCTTTTTTTAAAAAAAATTTGTATTTAAATTCAATTAATTAACATATAATGTATTACTAGTTTCAGAGGTAGAGGTCTGTGATTCATCAGACTTATATAACACCCAGTGTTCATTATATCACGTGCCCTCCTTAATGTCCATCATGCAGTGACCCCATCCCCTGCCCCCCGCCCCTCCAGCAACCCTCAGTTTGTTTCCTATGATTAAGAATCTCTTATGGTTTGTCTCCCTCTCTGATTTCGTCTTTAGTTTCTCTTATATCATTTCTTACCACGTGACTTACTGTATATATTTGCATCTCTATTGATTTATTTCTTCTTTTCTCACTAGAATATAAACCTTGTGAGGCCCCAAACGTATTTTTCTTGCATCTGAAAACCTCTCTAGTTCATCAGAAGTGTTCAAATCTGAATAAACAGACCAACCTATGGTTTCAGATTTAAAGGCCACTGATAGAACCCAGTGCTGCGTTCATACACATACACTTCAGTACAGTGGTGGTTGCCCTGACGAGGACAAAGAAAAATTTAAAAACTGTGCAGAAGATTTTGAAATAATAAACGAAGGGAAGTCAAACTTGCAATATCTGGAAAGTACACTTTAGCTATTGCTCAGGAATCATCCTTACAATGGAATAATTTCATGAATACAAATTTAAAATACATACGGCACAACCCATAAACATGAATATTCTAGAGAAAAGCAGACACTGAAAGAAAATACCTACCTGCATTAAACACAAGATACAATTTGTTTTTTATAAACTGGGCTTTGATGTATAAAGCATATTTAAAGATTTAAGTTCCATCTCTAATTTTCCATTTTATTATTGAAATGCTACCATGCCAAGAATAAAAAAATCAAATGTACGTTTATAGTATGTTGAGAGAACTGCTTTTTTCCCCCGTGGGTAAGGTCATTTTCAAGCATTTGTTTTTACCCTACCAACCAACCATATGTAGTAGTACTCACATGGAATTTTATGCAGCTCATTCATAAACTTCTCCTTCAGCTTAGAAAAGGCATCTTCCTTTCCTTCCCCGGGACCGGCCGGCTCTGTGGCGTTATGTGGGAGAACTGTCGCAACGGTCGTGACTGGTGGGGCGGCCAGCGCCTCGTGATGACTCTCGCTCACCATTTTAAGTTCAGGTGAATCTGAGAGGGGAGGGAAGCAAAACAAATAAATGAAGAAGAGAACAATTCAAAACGGCTTAACTGATCCCACATCAAAGGTACACCAGAGATGAAACACATCAGAAGGTGCACCTGCTCACTGGGTAAATAGTCTATCATTAGCATATTACTTTATGTTGGTTCATAAAGTATTTATGGAACCACCATGGAGAGTCTTTCCCAGAAGGTAAGATCAGGCGTACTTACTGAAAACATTCTCCTAACAATAATAGGTGAGCTGTCAAATCTATTAGATGTTTATACTGCCAATTATTTACTGTGCAGATTTAACTTCTAATCCATATATTACAGAACTGTGGATGAAACATTTGCTGACAACATACATGCTCTATGCTCTCAACATCTGTATTTTATAAGTGGAAAGAGAGATAAATATTTATATTGAAAATGTTGATGAATGATAGCATGCATTCAAGATATTAGTGACTTTTAAGATGGTTGTAAGCGATGCCATTACAACATTGATACTGTAAGGTGTCATGAGTGTCAAAGAGAAGTTAGTTCTTGAATCTCATTTACTGATGGTCCATTTTTCTCCCAATCATTTTTTTGTTTTTTTGACATTTACTGTGGACAATACTGTGATCAATAATTCACTTGTCTTGCTGGGTAAATGTTTGAAGCCACTGTAGATGTGGCGTGATTGACTATATGTATCAAGGAACTGATGATGAAACATGTCTGTCAAATTATTTCAGTGTATTCAATTTGATTATATTATTGAATTCTATTAAATTATTCAACGATTTTAAGTGTTTGTTTACCTCCAAAGCGTTAAAAAAACAATCTATAAGGTAACCAATGAAAAAATCTTAGCCTTGAATTCAGAAGACCTCAGTTCTAGTCCTCTTCATAGCTAAATGAATTCTGACAAGGCATTTGACCTCTTCATTTATCTACCTTCAGAAATACGAAGAATGAAATCTGCCCTGCTTAGATTTTTCTTAGTACATGTGAAGTGCTCTATAAATGTAAAGAAGGCATTCTAAAGAGATAGGCTTGAAGTCCTATTCTCCAATCTAAACATATTCTGGACTTTCATAATTAATTTTACTGTGTGACTTAAGATTTCAGGCAGTGCTGGCAAGAAAGGGGACAGGATTTGGGGCAGAAATAGATAAATACAAACATGTCTGGGCAAAAGTAACTTCACAGTCTCAGCAGGAAAGTTGATGGACCTATAGAGCCCTTTTGATTTGCAAAGAAATGGAGGTAACCGGCGAACAGACACGGGATTTTTATAAAATTAAAATCTTTTGTGAATTAATTATGCATACTTAAAATATTTAGTGGAAGTATAATTGAAAGCAGAATAATCTCAGATGTATGGAATTATTATTAGAATCTGAATCAAAATCCAGAGATTTTTGGCTCCCCTGAAAGGAGAGGATGCCTGAAGCTAATACATACACACAGATAATCAATTTTCAGTTTATAATATGTTCTCTTTTTAAAGCTTTTAATTTTCCACTAGTAGCTACTAATAAAACCTGAAAGGGGAGAATCAGACAGATGTAGACTTAGATCTTCTCTGTTCTTTAGTTTCTTCATTCATAAAGTGAGAATAATCATACCAAAGACGTAAGGTTTTTGAGTATGCAATGAGATAATCTATGCAATGAATTTAGCACTCTAGCAATTGATCAGTCAGTCGATCCTTCAGTCCTCCTGCCTCCCCTCCTTAGGAATACTTGGCAACCCAGAATTTTCCAGATTGTGGAAAATTGTATTTTTCCAACTCAAGGTCACTTTCTAAAAGGTTTTCTTGATTTTTTTATTCTGTTTAGCTTAGGATCTGTCTTCCTGCAAAAAACTGGAGTCCTGTTTGCATAACTTAGGTGAAACTTCGATACCGATAATACCGTAACTTTTACATTTCGTATGCGTCAGCGGAACTAAAATTATATACAGATACATACACAAACACATACATATGTATGGAATATTAGTATGTATGTATTCAAAAACTGAATTGGGTCCTCTGCTGTGAGAATCACCAGATATGATAGGCATTATTACTTATCTCCACAGGCTGGTTGAGGATATTTGAGGGATCGTGGTTTACTGTAGGATTTAAAATAAATTATTGCATTAAATACAAATACCTGTATACAACAGTGCCATCATTAAATTAAAAGTATGTTGTCTATGTTTTAACTCAATTTTTGTCATATTCTGGAAGTGAGACACTTGCTAGTTACCTGCACTGATCAGGTGCAGCCCCAGAATGGCCACACAGTTGTTTCTAGCCTTTATGCACATGGATGGTTCAGTCCTTTGCCCCTCAGGTTGTTAAATATTTTCACGTTACCCCAGCTTATAATGGAATATAAAACATTTCTACATACAAGTTGAATGATCTGAAAGGCTATTTAAAAAAGACTTCTCTTCAGTAGCGTCAACATCTAGAAGATGGACTTGAATATATTTTTTTAAAGAGGCAACAAATGTTTCTATAATTTCCAAAAACAATCCTTTTCCGATATAAGGTGTGCTTTACAAGTGTTTTATCAAAACAGGTAAAAGCTATACACTTTTAGCTGTTACTAGTCAATGATATTATCTGTATCATTTCTGATATTTTTAAATCAAGGAAAGATTATAAATACAGAGACAGTGCTCCTTTTACTTAATGTATACCACTGTGAAATTAAAGTCTTTCATAAACAACAAAAATATAATGGGCAATTAAGGATCTAATATACTGACAAAGAAAGACTAATTGTTTGCTTAATATTTTCTTCTTTGTCTTTCATATTTTGAGAGATGATGCTGTTTGTAAATAGCAAAACTAAGAACAGTGACATGGCCCTTGAACTTATGTTTGTGGAAATAAGATGCTGATTTCTAATTTTCCATCACTTCGTAGATGGAAAAACTAATTATTCGGTTCTGCCTAATGTGATAACCTTATATTCTTTTATGTAGCATTGTTTGCTTATTCAGAAAAAGTTTATATTCTACTCAAGTCTTGATAAAATAACAGCCAAAAGTTATTGATACCCGCTAAGTGGTATAGATATATGAAAACCTACAGTTTCCACGTCGCTCCCGTGAGAGGTGTAATCATCACCCATTTAACGGTGAGGAGACTAAGGTATACAGAGGTTATGCAGTTGGTCCAAAGTACTACAGTAGTAATTAGTAGAGTTGGAATTTGAACCTAGATGTCTCAGCCACTATAGTGTTAGGGACTGTGAGACAAGTGTCCAATAAAATTGTGGTTTTTGAAGAAGTTTTTGACTGTAACCCATAGTAAGAAGTACATTTTACATCATGCGCCAGCATACAGGCTCTCGCCTCCTAGATGTTCTATATGGAACAAAAGCTCGGCAGAAAAACACTTGTCTTCACTATGTGTGAAATGTTCCTATATATTTAATTCTGTCCTTTTTCACTAAAAAATTCTAGTTGTACCTCCAGATTGGATACATTGGTTTCACAATCCTCCAGTGGTTTGAGACCCACAGTTTGGAAAACCACTATAGAAAGGGACAAGGGAAGATACAATAAAACTAATGGAGCTAATGAAAACTAAAGAGGCCACTTATTAAGCCACTGGGTGCCAAAATACTGTCCTTGTCTAATCGCAACCTTGAAAGGCAACTCGGTCCCAGTTTACAGGATAAACTGGGTTGCGGAGAGGTTAAGTGATTTGTCCAACAAAGATTTAGCCTAATTCAAGGTTCTTTCTACTAGTCTCCTCTCATAATAACACTTATGTATTATTAAACAATTAAATCAGTATTGGAAAGATAGTTATGCTTTTATTTTGAATTTGTTTACAAGTAAATGGAAAACACAAGTCCTCTTGCCAATGGGAAACAGATTGCTTAATTTTAGAGGTGTAGTCATTTCATTGGTAAAGTGAATTTGGCATCCTGAGGTAGGTAAAGAGAAATAATATTGAATAGAAAAGTAAATTCCCTTCCAAGAGAAAGTTCAGTATGAACGACATGAGCAAACAATTCTCAAAGAAAGAAATACACATCCCTCCTGACAGATAAAAGGTGTTTAATTTCACAAATAGCCCAAAACCTGAAAGTTAAAATAACAGTGAGCTAATATATATTCATTTGTAAATGCGGCTAAATGTAGATATGAAGGGGAGTGTTCAGAAAAGTGAGCAATTGGGAAAGACCATAGAGTAGAAAAATACTTTATGGTGGCCAAAGTAACAGAACATATAAAAGGCTATAGAAATGCTCATTCTTTTTTCTAGGAATTCACAATAAAGAATCTGAGGTGTACAAACAATTTAAGGATGTTTAGTGTAACTCTTCTGTCATATTAGAAGAGCAGAAACTAACAGAGACTTTTTAAATTGTGGTAAACCATAAAATAAAGTTACTAAAATTATCTTAGTAGATATTTACAAACTTAGAATACATTAGAGTGTTAGATGAAAAAAACAAAGTATGAAGCATTAAATAAAGTATGTCCAATTTTTCTAAGTAAAAAACTCTTGTATAAAAGAGGTTGGAAAGATACATTTAAAATGTTAACTTTGTGGTAGAATATTCACTTTTTTGTGTATGTTTACATATTTTAAATTACACAAAGAAAAAACCTTTCACACTGTTTGCTCTTAAGAAAAACTGGATCTTGCAGAAAGAGTTTAATTTCCTAGTGCCAGATTTTCAAAAACATACTTTAAAATGTGATGTAAAAAGCCAAATTGCAGGAAGTAATGATTTAGTTATGTATTTAGCAAACACAATGTACAAACTGGCCCCTGAGTAAAATACAGTGTAGAAAAAATACTAAGGTATCATAGAGGTTAATACTTTTGTGGTATAAAATGAGGAAAATCAGGATTTTGGTTGCCATGACAACTTCCCTTTGTCCTTTATATTCTTCTAGTAGGATTTTAATTATGTCTATCTCTAGGTCTATAGATTGATGGAGATTTCTTAGATTATATAGTGAGATCGTCTACCATACTGCTTAAGCATAATAGT